GGTTACGTTAGCTAAATTTTTGTTCTTATGTCGAGATTTTTTCAATAATAGTACTTATTTGCTTCAACATTCAAAGCATATTGTTGTGTAGCAAGAAAATTCTAGAAATGCCTGTCTGTATGTCTGTATGACAATGACCATCTTAAAGGATTTGCTTAAACTTCTGTTTAACATTCCATGCGTTCTATAAAGAATTTTTTTCTTTACGGCATTGCTCCCTACATGTGATTCCGGGTTTATAAAAATAACGACTTCTCCCATTTTTTATACGCAAGGGGCAATTTTATCATAGTTTCTGTTTATTTACACCAGGTTTAATATTCACTTTACAGTAAATATGAGCAATCGAATTATTCAGAAAGTTTATTCATATTTGCATCCGCGCAATGCTACGGATGTAGTGAAGCCATTTATCGAGTTAGTCGACAATATAACCGAGGCTTCAAAGGCCATACATAAGGCCTATAAAAAGTCACAATATAACAAAAGGACTTGTGGTGTTTTGCTTACTCGTGTCGAATTTGCAGAGTGCGCAGTAAAATCCTTGATTCGCAGCAAAGATGACCATGTGGATGATTTTTGCAATCAAGATTATTATCAAGCTTTTGCAAAATTTAGCTGCGTTACGAAAAAGATTAGAAAATTTGTCGAGGATATTTCTCAACTCTCAAAATTCAAAAAATTTACCAATAGTCAATCTATCAAAGATATGTTGCGTGCAATACTAGAAGATTTCGATGCATGTTTGTTAGATCTAAAATTGCAAATTTCTGTTGACACCGAAAAGGATATGAGCGTTCTTGATAAGGATCTTGAACAGATGAAGGTATACACAAATTATGAATTTGAGTTGAGTTGCCACACTCTTGACTGATAAAATTCCCATTTTATTAGTTTTTGATAAGATTGGATCGCGAAACCGATGTAAATGGTGATCAAGATTATAATGAAAATTTTGTGGCGTCCCTGAGTACTGTGCAAGAACAATTTAAAATAACAGAATCTGAGGTTAAAAATTGTGTGAATCCGATGTTCCAAGTAAATACAATTCCATTTGAAGAACTTGAAAATCCCGGTGAAACTGATGTGCCGCGCGGAAGTATAATAAAGAGAAGGTACAAGGGAATGGATGTAGCGTGTAAAAAAGTAATAATCGAGACGGATAATGAAGTTCAAGTCAAAATATTTAAAACACGGGTTTCAATTCTTGAAAAACTACACTTATGCGATAGCATCATCCGATTTTACGGAATATCAAAATTAGGTGACGATGATTATATGATTTATGGGTGGGCTGAACTACGTAGTTTAAAAGAAGTCTATAAGAATCAAGATCTTTCTTTAAACGATAAAGTTAGTATTTCATTGGATATATGTAGAGGTTTGGTCTTCTTAAATGCTACTGGGATATACCATCATGACATTCGATGTAAAAATATTCTGGTAAGATCTTTTTAAATCAATAATGCATTCAAATAACTACTTATAAACTCGCATCGATATACTGTAATTAATATTCCTAGATGACTTCTAAATTAGAAGCAAAGATTGCAAATTTCTCATTTTCAAGAGGAATCTGTGATGATACTATTAAAAAAAATCCCGAGAGTTCTGTTAATTGGATGGCACCTGAAAAGATGGAAGAATATCGACCTACAGTTAACACTAAAAAGTTCCAGTATACTCCACGTTGCGAAATATTTAGGTAATATTTCTATTGCACACAATACACGACACATTTAATGCAATTTTACGCGTTTGGTAATGAATTTTATTCCATAGTTTTGGAATGTTACTTTGGGAGCTTAAACATGAAAGAATACCATATGAGAATAAAAGCATAACCGATATAATTGATCATGTAATCTCTGGAAAAAGAGAGGAACTATGTTGTTTGTCACAGTACGCATATGATCAAAAGTATGCCGAGATAATTCGAAGAGGTAACTAATAAAAGTGGTGACATTCATTATTTGATTATGTAACACTAATTATAATTATTTTGTTACTATTTAGCTTGGGAGCATGATCCAGAATTACGAATAGAATTAGCTTCCTTACTGGATGAAATACAGAATCTTTATACTTGTATAAAGAATACTGATATCAAATCTACGAATAAGGTGTGCAGTTTCAATTTATCTACCGTCGAAGTGATTCCACCCATGGAGCATGGGATTGAGGCATACAAGAAAAAGAACTATAAGGAAGCGTTCGTCGTTTTCAAGGCTAATTCCGAATCGGGTAGCAGTGACGCAAAATTTTGGATTGGAGAACTATATTGGAAAGGAAAATATGTTGAAAAAAATTTGGATCAAGCGCTTAAATATTACAAAGAAGCAGCAGATGAAGGTCATACAAAGGCAAAGTTTCGATATGCAGTTTCGTTTCATAACCTATACTTTGATAATGAACCAATGTTACTGGAAAACAGCCGTTTGATTATTGATAATTTAAGGGCTGCAGCTGCTGATGGTCATGAGGAAGCTCAATATATGTTAGGAGAGATACACCAGGAAGGAAAGTTCGGAACTAAAATAGATGAAAAATTAGCAAAAAATTATTATGAAATGGCGGCAACAAAGAATCATAAGAAGGCTATTGAGGCTTTGGGACAGATTAAACAAGAAGAAGAATAAAATTATGACTGAATTATTGAATGAATTTTTTAAACCGTAGTTATTTAAGTTTAAATAGTTACAACCATATAATTAATAAATTTTATTAGATCACGGTATTATAAATTTAAATAAATATTTCTTAAAAAATTTAATTTATTTAAAATATATGCATTCAGTGTCATCTTTCACTGGTCCAAGTAGTGCCATTTTATTTCGCTCGACATACAGTATATTATAAAAATTTTATCAATAATTGGCAGCCAATTAAAAAAAAATTCGCATAAATGTTAATTGCAAAAAAAAAAAAAAAAAAAAAAAACTATCTAGTAAAATTTTATAAATATTTATTGTATTGAAAAATTATCTTTAACTTAATCGAAATTTTTAAAAAAACCCGGCAATTTATTGAAAAAAACAATAGAAAATGATTTAAACATTTTTTGCAGATTTTTCAATTACAATTTTAGAAGAAATGTTCTTTCAAAAAACGATTTTTAATAATAATGAAACTTTAAAATTATTTTAAAATCACTTGATTTGCTTAGCAAGCATCCATTGCTTCTCATTTGTTATACCTTTTTTTTTAAACAAAAATAGAAAAATTAAATTAAATTATAAAAGAAATTAAATGATCAGTTTTTTTTTTTCTTATTATAAATTTTTTAAAGTTTAAAATAAAGTGTTAAGATGATTAAATTTATATTAATAGAAAAAAAATAAATGTTTTTATCTATAAACAATAAATTTTTTGAATATATAATATATTGTATATATATTGATAATTATTTTTGAAGGAAACAAAAATTTTATTTGATTTTCTAATAACTTTTTTTTAAATATAAATTAGGTATCTTTTGCTTTATTCTAATTTTAAAATCCTATATCTTTATTAATATATAATTAGAATTAATATAAAACATTTATTTTAAATTTTATATTATAGAATCAACTATTATATAAAAACTTCATTTTTAGAATTTAACTGTTTTATAAAATTTTTTTTTTAATAAAAAATTAAACCACTTATATTTTTATTAACATATGGTATAATTAAATTTTATAAAAAATTTTATTTAAAATTTTATATCATTATCTATTATATAAAAAAAGTTTATTAAAATCTAATTACTAGTTATCAAAAAAAGAATATAAATAAATTAGATTTTATTTTTAAAATTTATTATTATTATTTTTTAAACTTCAAAAATAATTTTTATATCAAATTCTTATAAATTCTATTCTTTATCTTTTAATTTTTATTTTTAATATTAAAAAAACCTTATTATATTTATTACATATAATATAGTTTAATAAATTTTTTATTAAATATTAACTTTTTTTTTTAAACCATAACTGGTACTTTATTAAAAATTAACTTAACATTGATATATAATAAAATCTTCAATATAATATCAATCTTTTTATATAAAATATATTTTCTTATATACAATGTGTAACAAAACTTTTTAGAATTCTTTATTTATCCATAACTTGATAAAAAATTATTTAAATAATATAAAAATTTAAATATATATTTTTTAAAAGTTAAAGAATAAGGTTACTTAAGACTA